TCAGCTCTAGGCAATAGTGCGTAAATTGTCAGTGCTTATCGTTCGGTCTGTTTTTTTGTGCGTTTTTTGTATTATTGCATATTTGTCGTGAGCCAAATGGATTTGAAGAATGTGAGAGCTTGAAAAAGGAAGCTTGGGAATATCTCACTCTTTTTGACTCTTTGTTTGCCATGCAAGGATTTGGATCGGGCAAAACAGATACTCGGATGAAGTCTCCAGGAGATAGGAAAAGAGAAAGTTATAGGCCGGAGCGAACTTTATTCTTCTCAAGTGGAAAGAAAGGCATCAAGTATGTGCTACATCACAAGACTTTCCTTTCATTATTTTTATAGCATTTTGTCATTTGTCATGACTTTTGTTGGAAAATTATTTTGATGTGTTGGTCTATCTTATAAAAGAGAGATACATCTCCGTATGTAAAATTCATCACAGTAAGAAATTCTTAGATATTTTGAGAGAAATGTAAATCTCCGTAGTTATTTTTTTGTGGACTAACAGTTTTGACAGTTTCCATTTCAATTAAGTATCATGTGAAGTCTCGCAATATAGTCCTCTCGAGTTGAGAAAGAAAGAAGAATTCGTGTGCAGGAAATTCCTTATGATCCAGCTTTACATTTTTTAAGCTATGTTTGATTTTTCTCGCCTAAAAACTTTGGGCAGCTTTGATGTACGCGCATGGTATTGCACACAAGACCAGGTACTTGCTCATGTGTGGTGTTTGTTAGCAGATAATTTACTTTGAATACTACCAATCGCGTAATGATGGTGGCAATGACTGTTGTGAGAGATGGATTCTCGCAGGTATCTTATAGTGGCGGACTTCCAAAATTCCAATAGATCTTTTATGTTTTGTTGATATAGACCTGTGTTAGATGGTTTCAATTAGTGTTGTGTCCAGATTATCGAAGGTACTAGGTGATTGTGTTGACTAGCTCACGCAATACTTCGGATATCGCGCTTTGTAAAAATAGAGCTTTCCTGCTACGGGAATGATCTTTTGATGGATTTGTTGCCATGTATTATAGGTTAAACACCTTCCGAAGCGGCAATTGTTTCAGTTTCTCTTTGGCACATTATTAATGCAAAAATGACGTCTCGTCATCTCTCATCAACTTGTAGGCGGGATATTATTTAATTCGCCATTACAGAAGCTAGCAAAGAATATCTGTTATGGTTTACATGAAGAATTCATTGCCTACAAGATTGGGTGTTAGAACAAGGGAAGTACATTGTGCTATGTTTGATAGTCCAAAGCGCGATACATTCTCAGCAAGAATTCGACCTTTCATTCAAGGTCAAAGCACATTGATGTGAGATTATTTTAACTTTTTTAGGTGTTATCATTGGATACGCGATGCGCTGGGAGATATACGATTAGTTAGCACTTTCAATGAATTCTCTGGAAAAGATTAACATACTGGCCTTATTGGGTAACACTTTAAGTTTTTTTATGGGGGAAGACTGATCATTAGATGGATTTCTAAGAGTATTGTCCACATGCTTTTTCCCCTTCCGGGCCCTACTGAGAGGCTTGTCACTTGCAGAAAGGCTAGCGGGTATGGCTAACGTTCCGGGGCATCGGGTTGGTGGTGCAGGGGGAGTTTGGTTTGGGGGTGCATGTTTTGGTTGCCGGATTCAATGGGAGCCGGCATCGTTTGATAACAGTGGTCAAAAAAAAAAATAAGTAGAAAACGGTGCTGTGGATGGAAACCCACACGTTGTTAGATAATTGGAAATAGGATTGAATATAGTCATATTTCTTCTTGTTTTATGGTGATCCGTTTTTCAGCTCGAGCGAGATAGATGACGGTATTATTCCTCCTCTATTTCTTCTAATTATCTCTTTCGCGGTTTTCATACTTTCGGTCTATAAATAGGAGGGTGATGGCACAAACAATTCCCACAACACACGCAGACCAAAACGTACCGCAGAGAGTTTTTTTTTTGTGTATGAGAAATTGTGAGTTTATAGATTGGGGTTTTTCTAAAACATCGGGTCGATGCGAATAGTTGAGGGATAATTTGGGAACACTGTGTGAGTTTGCCACTTATTTTGTATTACTTCTCTTTGCTAAAGCCTTTAGATACTATTTTTCAATAGTGGAGAAAGGTTGTTATTCGGTTTTAGTGGTTCCCATACTTCCAATTACCTTACCTACTAATCTCCAACCACCTCGACGTGACACGCTGAGACGATTAGTTACCTTCCTAACAGTTAAAGGCCGTGGCACCTTACTCGCCTACCTCTAGTGCATCACAGGAACCCTACACCACAGCACCTCACGTCCATCATTCAAATATCTTTATTTTTTTGATAATTCTTTCTCTCTAGTTGTAGTATATTTTTAAATTTTTACCGCTGTAGTGTGATATATTGAATTTTCTTTTAGATTGTATCTTCATTGCTTGTAGGATATTTACGGATAACTATTGAGCTTTCTTCACATATTTAATGTAATTTATAAAATTAATGCACATCTCTTATGATTTACTTATTTTTTTCTTTCATATAATTATATTTGATTTTCTCTTGTGAACATATAACATCAAATTACGCAGTTATAGTCTTTTATATTGCACTAATAGTGTCTTCGCCAATTTTGTACGCTGTTAGGCTCAAGAAATTTTAGACCTTTTCTTTATCAAAAGTGGCTTTTATTTCAAAACTCCAAAAGCTTAGCCCGTGCGTGAGGATGAGATAGAGACTAACACTGCAGGATTTTTAAACTGTTTTCTTCTTTTTTTTTTTGGGGCCTATTTTTTTGGTCGTTCAACGTATCCTAGTTTCAGCAGTGGTTTGTAGTGCCTAACTGTGCTTAGGACTGCTGGGTGCTTTGCTCGTCCTTTAACTAATTTACTTTTCTCTCGGTGTGGTCTTGTAGTCATTGATTACGGTTGGGGTCAGTAATTTCTGGTTTAAGCCTTCTTCTTTAAACTGACGGGCAGCAGCTCTAAAAGCTAAATCACAATGTCATTGTAAGAGATTTTTTTCATGCTAATGAATATTAATGGTTATTATGGGATTTTAGTTTATGGAGTTGTAATCGTTTTTTTTACATATTAGAAAAAGAACATTTCGGAATTCGTTTGACTCTTTTTGATTTTTAAGTGGCCATTTTAATTGCCAATTCGGGTAGATTGTTTTTTAAATATTCTACATATAAAGTGCCAATCCACATCACAGCTTGTGAGTGAAAATACCTGATTTGTCAATTATTTTTTATAACTTGAATATTTGATTAGCTTAACAGTTAAAGGGTGAACCACGTAAATATCTGTGTCATATTTTTAATTTTCCGCTGTGTTATTTTTCTCGTAATCTTATTGCCGGGACCCAACATTAAATTTATTAATTATATGATAAATCTTTCTATAATTTGAACAAACAAATTACCATAGTTCATGCCTTTCCATTTCTGCAACGTGAGGGTGACTAGGTATTTGCTCGTGTACTTGTTTGGTTGATGTCTATATTTCGTTGTTGATTGGTAATGGTTAATCATAAGGCAGAGTAGTAATCGTTTTTTAATTGAAAATCGAACTAAATAGATCCATTTTAATTGAATTCGGTTAGATGTTTTAAAATTTTGATCACCAATCAGTTTAGTGAAAAATCCGTTTAATTTTTTTTTATATATATAGTTTGATTATAACTAACTGAATTTATTTTTATGTCTTGGGTAACTTATTTGGTTGGGAATAGCCAAATTCAAATTGAGTTGAATAATTTAATTCAGTTTTATTTGTAATATTTAATTACTTCAAATGTATCATTAATCAGTAATCATTAATTATCATAATCATTAATTACTTTTGCCATTTTTCACTGGGAGGCCCTGTTCCTTTCCTGTCTCTGAAATTGCAGTAAGAAGAAGTATCACCCACACAACTTTCACAGAGAACCTTTCAGACCATATTTGTAAATTACCTTCATGACCCTTGCAGTAACCAATGTAAAACCTTTCATGATTCTTGTGGAGTACTTTAAAGTCCATCTTCTTGTTTGCTATCTAATTATTGAGTTTTGTTCAGTTTCGAGACTTTTAGGGGTCACTGCAGAATTCAAAGACGTTTCCATTTCTTTCTTTCTTTCTTTTCAATTTGCTAATCATAGGCCATGGTTGATGTTCTTGTCCACTTGTTCAGAATGATAAATAAGAGACAAAACTAACATGTTAACTTAGCTAACTGGCTTGACTTTAGGCCTCAAAGTTAGTGATCCCTACAATCTGCAGCCATGAGACGCCTGTGAGCATGCATGACCCATAAAAATGATTCTCGTCAATGGTTATTTTCGCTACGCATCTTCTAAATCATTCTCTAGAACTACAAAGAGGATAAGCTTGTTCATAATGTCAACCTTTAAACCTAACTTTTCTAATTTTTTATACTTTATAACTGTTTTGTTATCAACAGGTCATAAGTTCATATTTTGATACAATCTTTATTTATTTAAAATTTGCGCATATGCCAATATGCTCAAACTTAGATGGTAGGTAGATAGACTCCTGTCAACATTGATGACTTCAAGTTTGAACTCCTAATAGCAGATTTCTCTAATTTATGTTTTGGACTTTGATGTTTTCATATTTAGCCCATAGGCACTGGATTTTTATTTTTTCTAATTATGGGTTGGACTTTCCTTTCTCTTTGAAGGTTCTCACAGCCCAGAGTTTTCATTGCTTATACAATTTTGGGTTGGACTTGTTTTTTCATATTTAGCCAGGCATTTGGAATTATGTTTATTTTTTTTATTTTAAATATAAATTTTATGAGAAAAAAAAGATAAATTGTAATAATTTTTTAATAATATATAACATTTATCTTTAAATATTGAAATGGGTTAGGATGTTCTCTTCCGGCCCAAACTTGAAAGTCCAATCAGATGTTTTGAGCATTAATTGACAAGTTTTGTTTGGGCCAAGAAATATGAGCTGAAAGTCCAATTAAATTGTTAAGCCTTTTATCGACAAGTTCTTTATTGGGCCAACACATATGGACTGAATTCTGAAACGGAAATCACCATTCTCAATTGTACGAATCTCTGGAATCGGAAGGGAAAGCGATCATTAAGTTTTACTAACACAGAAGAAGAGGTCACTTGTACGTATTCACTTCTTTGCGTCAATGGCAGCCAATTTCTGGACTTCCTCTCACTAGTAATTTATTCTTTTATTTTCCATCTGATTTCGGTTTCTATTTTTGTTGTTTTCACCTAATTTTGATTTTGATTCTTTTTTGTTATTTCTGTACAGCAAGCAGCTTCGGGACCCAGAAGAGGTAGATGTGGTTCAGCCACAGGACAAAGACAAAGGCATAACTGTTGAAGATTTCAAGCTCATTAAGATGCATATGGCTAATTGTACGATTCTTTTTCAATATTATCATCTGTATGTTTTCTGTTTTCTCTCAATTGGTTTAGAATATAGGTTTGTCATGAAACTCTCTTATATGGGTGTTTATATTAAAATTTTCCTCTTGATGGTCGCTTTTTTATCGGTATATTGCCTTATCTTTTCTTGAGACTTCCTCATTACTAGTGTGGGTTTTGTTTGTTCCTTCATGAGTTTTTTTTTTTTTTTTCTAAGAACTGAAGTTGAGTCTGAAGTTTTATTGGAAATATGAAAATTAACCCTAGTTGTCTTCTGGGGATGAATAGTGGTGTTGGTAATTAATTTGGTGTTTAACGTATATTTGTAATCCTAAAGGTATTCAAGATATTCATAAAAATTTCAGGAAGTTTTGAATGAAACCCAGTATATTTTTAGCATAATTGTTTCGATTATCTTCTAGAAAGATTGCTGGTAAAACCAGATTGATGATAGATAGATAAATAAATTTCTGTGATATTCTGTTGATACCTTGTTTAGTTGTAGGTCATTAGGTATTTGTACGCTTGAATTTGTGTACGCCCTACATTCTATTAGAATCTGCTTTTGAATTGAGATTGTTATGTGGTTTTTGGCATCCTGTGCTTTGGTGAAAGAAAGACTCTTGAAGCCAATAAATTTGCATTTTTAAATAATTGAATTTGTATGACTATTTCACCTGAAACCTATAAGGAGCCACCTAGAAGTGCTAATTATTTTGCTATAAATTCTTAATTGTTGTGTTTGTGAATTTTTTGTTGTTTGAAATTCTTTCTCCATCAATTCTTCTTTCTTTTATGTTTCTTTTACTCAGATATATGGAAATTGGCTCAGCATGTTAAAGTTAGACAAAGGTTAGGTTTATTCCTCTTCCTTTTTTTTTTTCTTAATACATTTTCATTTTTTGTTCCTTGAATTCATTGTTACAAAATTATTTTGTAACTTGGAATTGAGCTTTAACCTCAATTTATCTCTGAGGTCAAATATATGCATATCTTTTGCCCACTTTGTTTTGGTTGAGCTTGAAATAAAATAATTTGTAAGTGAACAGAAAATTACAAATATATGCCCAGCAGATATATTTTACCATCTTACAAAGTTGATAATCTTGTCTTCTTTCATAATGCATCAGCAATTACTTACTCGCATCTCTAATGTATTGATTAACCTTTCAGGGTGGTAGCCACTGCAGTTACGTACATGAGACGTGTTTATACCAGGTATTTGAATGATTTATAAGAATGGGACAAAAGTGTGGAGTCAACAACCTCAAACACGTTATCCCAGTCTCATTTTTCTCCTCTCCCAAGCCTTCAAAATATATTTGTGTATACCTTACATGCAATTCTTATGCAACTATATCTTTTCGTCAAAATGAAGCTTACTGGGTGTAATTTATTTAGTTGAAACTTCCTCATAACAATGCTCTCCTTGGTTGTCACGTGTTGCTCTCCTTGGTTGAAACTTCCAACCTTTTATTCCAAGTTGTAGTCAAAAATAATTGCTTGCCTTTTTCTTCTTTAGTTCACCCAAATATTTCTTTCTCTTAATCTAAAAATCCACAAATGCTGTTGCGTATGATAGCAATTATCAGCCCCATTGCATCTGAAGGGATAATTGTTATTCTAATGACAAATGTTATATCATTCGTTAGTCTTAATTTCTCCTTGCACTTTCAGAAGGAGTATGTCAGAATATGATCCTCGGCTTGTAGCTCCAAGCTGCTTGTACTTGGCAGCCAAAGCAGAAGAAAGCACTGTGCAGGCCAGACTTCTTGTATTTTACATCAAAAAATTATGTAAGCTTGTTAATGGACTTTTTGCATTGATTATTTAACTTTCCTTATAGTTTGGTTGCTGGGTGTCTATTTTAGTGCAAAAAGTTCTCACAGTCACCTTCTGCACCACAGATTCTGATGAAAAGTACAGATATGAAATCAAAGACATACTTGAAATGGAAATGAAGATTTTGGAAGCTCTTAACTATTATCTGGTCGTGTTCCACCCCTATCGTTCATTGTCTCAGTAAGTGTTTTATCTTTTTTTTTTTGTCCTTTTTTTTTTTTTTTTAATCTTATCATGTGTTTGCTATGCTTGGCTTCAACTGCCACAAAACTTTTTTGGGGGTGCTTGGAGGGTGACGGACGGGGGTAAATCACATATTACAAATTGCACGTAAACCAACAGGTTTTTTTTTTTGTCCTTTTTTTTTTTTTTAATCTTTATCATGTTTGCTATGTTGGCTTCAACTGCCACAAACTTTTTTGGGGGTGCTTTTGGGTGACGACGGGTAAATCACATATTAAAATTGCACTAAACCAAAACAGGAAGATTCTTCATTTCACATGTAATTTTGAGGTGATAAAAGTTGCAAACAAGTGAAATATCAAATTATAATCTGTGTACCACTGGGTTAGCTGCTTAGTGGCATATAGAACAAGTGGTCAAGGATTCAGTACCTGGCGACCTGCCCTTCTAGCTAATTCTGGACTTGGTAGTTGATGATGTGCTTTTACATTTTCTCTAAGAAAAAGAAGTTTTTATTTAATATATAAGAAAGGACAAAATACAAATTGGATGACAGGATGTTTATCTAAAAAAATAAAAGAAAAGTGTATCAGAAAACCAGAAAAATAAAACTGAGGACATAATGCCTCCCAATAATTATAAACATGTAATTTAAGCGTGCTAATCCATTTAAAAATCAAATAAACTATAATCAACTCGATTCATGCACGATGGAGGGGGAAAAAATGTAAATAAGGATTATTACAGGAAATTGAGCGAAGCTCATCCATTTTTGGTTCAATACGCCTAACAGAACTGATAACCAAAAATCTGAACTTCTGAAGAGAACTGAACTGATCCAAAATAAAAAATAAAAAATAAAAAAAATAAAAAAAGAAGGAATGTGTTGTTTGAGTTGAATTGTTTTGTAATATAACCAAATCATGGTCATGGATCTTTTGTTCCGAACCCCTTACTCTGACAACATCTGCAAAAATAAGAGTTATTTGTTCCAAATTGCGCACTAGAACCTGTTTTAGCATGAGCAAAGGTTGAAAAATGTGTGTTCCACACTCCCCTGATATGGTGGAAGTTGGGGGAAGTGGAATCAACTTTATACAGGTTAGGAGAGTCTGGATTCTCTTGGGACCTAAAGAGCATTGGTGACGGTGCCCCATCCAGCTGTGCCCCCAAGACACTATAAAAAGTTACCAAGTTTATCCTCATAAAATTTTATAATTTCCAGTTGATACATGACTTTCTGATTGCTGATCTTATAAGATTCAATTCCTAGATCCCGAATCCCGATAAGGATTTAAAATGAACACCTAATTAGATGTAAGTAGTCTTTAATGTCCTCCTGAAAAACGAAATTACACGAATTTAGCTTACTTAGAACAAAATTTGAATAATTTTAAGTTGCCTTACTTTCACCAATGATAACAAAATTCTTTGTCCTTGCATTCTGTTCTAATTGGTTTTCACAAATCTATTATGAGAGTGAAATATCTTATTGAGGACAAACTTATTGTCATAAATAATTTTGGTGGGCCTTGACAGGTTGCTGCAGGATGCTGGAATTAATGACATAAATATGATTCAATTATCTTGGTAAGTGTCTAGGATAAAGTATCTTTTAAAGCTATTGCTGGAATCTCAGAACAGGCTTATTCAATTTTTTAAGGTCATCTATTGTTTTATTATATATAATTGTCATATTAGATGGTGTTGGTGGAATGCTAAAAGTTACTCCACTTGTGATTTGGAGGTCATGAGTTCGAGCCATAAAAACAGCCTTTCTACAAAAAGTAGGGGGAAAGTGACAGTACATCAACCGTCCCTAGAGCCCATACGTGGCATGCTTATATCTGTTCTTTTACAAAGAGCTACTGGAGACAACTTTTTTTCTTTACATCTGCTGGCTGCATTTCATGGGATTTATGGATTAAGCTAACTCTTATATGGTTTAAATTTTCTCTGCTGGCTGCTGTAGTACATATAAAATCATATCTTTTCCTCAACGAAGAACATTGAAAATATATATTCATGTGAGGCTTGTGAGTCAGAAGCGAGTCTACATATACAACACACTCATGCGTTAACTATTATATTCTGACAGATTTTTCAAGTTGGTTGATGTGGAGAAGTATGGGGGTGCACTTTAAACATGGTAATCTATAAGAAGAAAAATAAAAGAGAAAATGAAAGACAAACTCTTAGAACCCAAAAGATAATTCTTGCTGCTTGAATGCCTGAACCCTTTGAAATTTGGTAGATGTCAGCTAAATTTCTGGTCTGAAGAATGGCTATCCCATAAACCTTTTCAAACCCATCCTAGTGGTTCAAACTTGAGATCTTTAATGTGGAATCCCAAGTTTATACTGGATTTTCAAATATGAGCAGATTCAAGAGAGTTGTCTTAAATATTCAACTTACATATTGGCATATAGCCTTCATTCTGAACTACTTCTGAAAACTTGGGGGAAAGATACTGAGGAAAAAGAACAAAAATGTTGTTTGGTCAACCAGTTTTGAAATTGGTGTTTTGCAAAAGGTTGGATGGTCCTACTTGTATGGTAGTTCAGAATTCGCAAAAACATTGTTGTTTCATAAACTGTATTATGGTTTTTATCTTCGATTGATTTTTATAAAATATAACATTAATATGCTGTGAGTTTACAGGGGACTTGTAAATGACACCTACAAGATGGACCTAATTCTTATACATCCCCCACATCTAATTGCTTTGGCTTGCATATACATCGCTAGCGTGTTTAGAGAAAAAGATATAACAACATGGTTTGAAGAGCTCCGTGTTGATATGAACGTGGTGAGTCTTTCTTTTTCTTTTTCGTCTCTTATGATGAGGTCTACATTGAAACTTGTATTGGCAGCTTGATCAGTCAGAGAAATTTGAATTAAAATACAAATCACGATGCATATGTTCTAGAATGATGTTGGATATGGGTATTTTCTGATTATCCAAATGAATGGTAGATAAATGTAACGAATAAAATGGGGCATGGAATTGCTTGTAGAAAAACACATGCAATGATTCTGATCTTGAAGCATTGAAAATCAAAAACTAGGGATTCCATTTGTTGTAATTAACATGCAAATTTACATGTAATTTTGCAGGTGAAAAATATTTCCATGGAGATTTTAGATTTTTATGAAGGCCATAGATTGATCACAGATGAGAGAATCAACACTTGTTTCAACAAACTTGCTTTGAAGCCATAAATGCTTGGGCAATACCTGCTTCTCATCACTTGGAAGAAACCAGAAGGCAAGTGAAAAGGGCAATGAAATCTGTCTAAGTGAAACCTACAACACATAGGTTAAACCTGTGTACCGTAATTGGTCATTTAATTAGGACATTAACGTCGTTTGTCTCCATTCATAACTATGTGCAAGACCATTAGAACAAGGCATTGCTGTAACTGATGATCTTGCTGCTGTTATTTTTCTGACCTCTTTAAGAAAAGGTGGGTCGAATTTCATTATATGACACTTGGAACTTTGATGGGGAAAATATGATTTTATCCTTATATTTCGGTGTAATTAACTATTTTATCCTTATATTTTAAAAATTATACTATTGCATTCTTATTTGTCTCAGTTAAATGAAATTATCTGTAATGGATCTAAACTGCAGGAATAAAATAGTATAATTTTTAGAATACATGAAAAAGTAGTTAATTATTTTAAAATATAGAGACAAAAATGTAATTTTTCCCTTTTAGTTTATATATATATATATATATGTAAGGTTAGTCATGTAATTATACTACACTTACCAATTTAAATCTCAAATAATTAAGGAACGATAATTTCATTTAACAAAGACAAAAACTATAAGGATAAAATAATGTAATTTTTAAAATACTAGGACAAAATTAATTATGTTAAAATATAAAGACAAAAATATAATTTTCTCAACTTGAATTATAGAATATTGTAACATCTGGTAGCAAAAGCCTCTTCCCATGAAATTAAGGTAAAAACAACAGATGCTAAGGATCCTAAAATTTCTATCAATTGTCAGAAGTTTGAGCATTTGATTGTTCAAGATCAAGAGCATTCCTCGCTTTTCCTCTCGAGCGTTTGTCCTTGTCTTTTTTCTTAGCCTGCTGTTTCTCTGTATGGCATAAAAAATGAAATTACCAATCCAGATAATTAAAAAATTGCAGGGTGTTCACCTTGAAAATAAATTAAACTAAAAATATATGTTTTAATAATAATAACTTAATTCAACTTTGCTTTTTAATTTTTAAATAAAATTTATTAATTTATTGATTAAATTAAAAATTATATTTAGAAAGAATCAAATATAATTAAAATCTAATCCACAGAGAAATTAAATCCTTGCCAAATAAAATATTAGTACTTTTAAAGTCTTGAATTATTTATGAGCTATTTCAATGAAATATAATTTGATTTTCAAAAATTTATAATTTAACAATTAGCTGTCAGTTGTTCATCAACGTTAAAAGAAGTAGCTGTATGTAGTTGCATTTGCTTTTTTTTTTTTTTTTTTAAACAATAGCTGTCAGTTGTTCATCAACGTTAAAGAAGTAGCTGTATGTAGTTGCATTTGCTTTTTTTTTTTTTTTTTTAAATTTCAATCATGAAGTGTAATTTTTTTTTTTTTTTTTTTAAATTTCAATCATGAAGTGTAATTAATCTCTAACTTTCATTTTCTGGAATATATTTGTCAAAAAAGTTTAAAAAAATATATGTTTTAGTTGCAACAAATTACCTGATTAGACCTTTTAATTATATATTTAAAATTATTTAATAATATATTCAAAAAGTTGCATTTCATTTTTAATTGCAAAGCAAACCAAACCAAACATGAGCTTAGAACAACAAGAACTTGTGCAGAAATTACCTAATTTCCTCTTAGCTTCAGATTTAGCGAAAAATTCCCTCCATTCATCGGTTAAAACAAAAACCGGATCGTCGTTTTCCTCCTGTTCGTCCTCTAAATCATTGATCTCCGGCTCTTGCAAAACCCTAAAATTTGAGGAAAATCCAAGAAAACATAAAACTTCATAAATTAAGATTCAGAAAAGCAGAAAGCTGAGCAACTTACTGAGTAATAGAGTTATAGTTTTCTGTATTCGCATTGGATTGCAAGTTAAACTCGTTTTCCGATGGATAAGGAGCGTAAGGATCTGCAACTTGTAGAGGGACCGGAGCAAGTCCAGGGCATATGAGGAAATGGCAATTACAATAGTGGTGATGGTAGTGGTTATGTAGAGAGCAGAGTTGGTGGGGGTGGCCGTGACACAAGTGGTGGTGGCGGTGGTGGTGGTGGTGGTGGTGGTGAGGTAAGCATGGAGGCCTCCTCCTAATCCTGAATGGTGATTCCATTGACCGCCGGTGGCCTGCAAGGGTTTAGAGAGGTTTTTTATGCTGGAAATAGAGAGTTAAATCACTTTATCATTTTAACCTCTTTTCTCTTTTATAAAGCTCTGTTCCACGGTAGTGTTTTGAGGAGTGTTGGAGGAAACATTTACAGTTTTGAATACGTTAAGATATCTTTTTTTGTAGATCATATTGTTCAATAAGGTAGGATATAAAATAAATTAGAATAGAATATAAATAATTTTTAATGGATAAAATAGCATTTGTTAAAACGATATTCAACTCAAAATTTATATTATTTGACAAAAATCTAAACGAAAAAATAAAATAATAATGAAAAAAAGAGATATGTGAAAAAATTATATTGTAATTTTAGAAATGATAGTGATATCAATTTATATAGTTGGACTACACACTATAGATTGATATTCTTTTAATAGACAAATAATAATACATTATATAAATCTTTTTTTTTTATAATGGGTTCAATTCTATAGTCATAAGTTAAAATTCTAACTCAATATTTAAATGTTTTTTTTTCATTTTAAATTAAAAATCTAATTAAATAACTATTTTTACCGAACATTTTTTGCTTTAAATAGTCCACTAATGATAATGTTTAAACAATATCATTATTTATTTATTTCCTTTTGCTATTTTACGTGTTTACTAATTATTGTTCACTAATGTAAAGAAAACTTAAAAAATAGGAATAAGAAGAGAATAGATAATGAAATAGGTACTTCTTGAAAAGAGTTTAGAATAAAGTAAAGTTTTTTTTTTTTTATTTTTCTTTTCTTTTTTTTCACAACACTAAATTTGCTGAAGGTCAAATGTAAAATTGCTGCCCTTTTAATTTTATAGTTTTAATTTAGTGTCACCCTAATCTTCGATAAGTCTTATTGTGTTTCATGACTATAAATTTTATTAACATTTAGCCCATTTTCATAATCTTAAAAATAATTTTTAATATTTTTATTTTCTACGTCTGAAATATTGATTTGATGTATGATTGGTACGATTTTCAAAATAATAATTTTCATATTTCTAACTATTTTTAATTATTCTTATTTTACCAATTAAAACTTTTAAGAAAATGATTTATAGATTAAAGTGTTTAATAAATATAATTATATAAGTTAAAATGTTTAACGATTCAAATAAAAATTAAGAGTATCTGTAACATCCATCGGCCAATCCTGGAGAATCAGACGGCGGATGCCACAATCGATGCCGTCTTACGTCACTTCTTAACGCTAGATTACAAATTAGAAGTGGTTAGATTTTCATAAGGAGGCAAGTAATTATGTCACGCCCCGACTTTAATTACTAGATTGGCAAGACCCGCATGGTTTTGTCCCGCAGATGAAATGAAAAACTTCCCAGGAGGTCACCCATCCTATAATTTCCGTTAAGCGAGCACGCTTAACTCTGGAGTTCTTCCAACTCTCCAGCCATTCCACTAAAAAAGGCCTCTAATGATTAGTTTCCTCTTTTTCGATATATGATTCGATTCATTCATGTGTCCTGCATTCCACTACCCTAGCTAGCCTGCCATCTTAGAAGCTAGCCAGGAGCTTTGCTCTACTGTCCTGCATTCCACTACCCTAGGTCCTGCATTCCACTACCCTAGCTAGCCTGCCATCTTAGAAGCTAGCCAGGAGCTTTGCTCTACCCGCCCTCTTAGGATCGTTTTACCGGATCAGGATATCATAGTATCAGTGCATATTGCGCTAAACTTGTCTTCTAAAGTTTAGGCGAAAATTTATGCATTTGGCCAAATATCAAAACACTTTTCTCATTTTGATCTTAAGAAATGGAATCAAAATTCTTATTTCACATGCAAGCTATTAAATATAAGAATATCGTTTGTTCTTTATTGCATGGTTAAATACCCGTTATAATCTTTATACTTTTAACGAAAAATTTTATAGCAACTAAATTATATGGGAGTTGTGTCTTAAAAGTTATTAATTTTAATCTACAAATTATTTACATTTTTATGCATTAGTATAATAATTTTTTAATTCTTAGTTATTATATACAAAATACAAATTTTGCAACAAATAATTTTCATAACTTCAACTATATAATAATTGTTTAGTTAATGTAACTTTATTGAATTTTGTAGTTGAGTGAATTTACATATTTGGCCTTACCTTTTTTTGTTTGTGAGCAAAAACTTTCTTTTATTATTAAAATCCGGAAAAAATTTAATATAATTGAAGCATCTAAATTTGCGCCACCAAGCATCCCTAATGCATTTATTCTAGCTCGGAAATGCTAAGTGAAAAAACCCAATAAACTATATATCAGATTGCAGTCTCTTCTCGAGATAAGAAAAAAAAAAAAAAAAAAAAAAAAAAAGAACATAAAAAAAAAAAAAAAAAAAAAAGAACATTTGAAGTAAATATCATACAGTCTCAACAGTAAAAAATCAAATCCAAGCAAATCCAAGCAAGAAAGGCATTGTTGCATCTACACTTCTCTTTGTCAAGCTATCGGCGTATGGTTTCTATCTCGATTCACAAGATGAAGGGTTTGTTCCGCAATTTTAGATGTTCTAGTATCTGTTAGCTATTTTAATAACCGTCAGTTGTTTTACCAGTGGTTAGCTATATTAATTGTTAGTGGTTAGCTGTTTATAAAGTGATCTAGAAGAGAAATGGTTGGCACAAATAACTGTTTGATTAGCTATTTAATATGAAACGACACAAAAGAATATGAAAGCGAGAAATAAAGTAAAGATAAATGATGAGTATAAGTGTCATAAAAAAATTATAAAACGTTAAACATGAATAACGATAACGTTTCATCAAACACCGTCTCAAACTCTAAATACTATAATAGATATTGTATATTACCGAATACTATAATTAATTAAGATAGTGTTTTGAGTCAATCAAAACAGTAAATACTACTGCCAAATAAAACGTATAAGTGTCATAAAAAAATTATAAAGCGTTAAACATGAATGACGATAATGTTTCATCAAACACCGTCTCAAACTCTAAATACTATGATAGATATTGTATATTACCAAATACTATAATTAATTAAGATAGTGTTTTGAGTCAATCAAAACACTAAATACTACTGCCAAATAAGGCCGAAATGAGATATTATCTATGGATTATAGTATCACATCAAATTTGTTGAAACGTTTTCAATATTTCCATTGAGATACCCAATATACAACATTTTTCAAATCTAATTCAATAATTAAAGAAAAATATTTAAAGTTTGAAAGAGAAAATAACTCTGCTGCTTTAAAGATGGTGAGAAGCTCCGCATAATTATAATCAACTACACCCACAGACTGAAAAAAAATAAACAGCCATACTTCATCATGGATGATCTCATATGACTTTTTTTTTTTTTTTTTTTTTTTTTTTTTTTTTTTTTTTTTTTTTTTTTTTTTTTTTTTCATAAAAACAAGTCCTTAAATTTCTTTTAAGACAAGTGTAAGCCCACATGGTAACCCAAGTCCAGATGTCCAACATTGAAATTAGTGTTTCAACTTTCATCATCTTCGTAGGACTCTCATGGATTAGGTTCAAACCCGAGTCATAATTTCTAAACTCGAGTTGTCCTCTTTCCACTAAAGGGCGAGGGCTTTATATATAATTTCTAATATTATTTGTTAAAGTTTTTGTCAGCATTTTGGCCCACTAAGATTTTGTATAGCTCGTGTTATAGAGGATTTTAGAAAATGGAAAATAGCAGGCGTCATCATATATTTCTTTTTATTTATTTATTTATTTAGTTTTCATTTTTTAAGCCACATTATCTTAGTATGTGGTTTCTTGTCTCTGTTTCAAGAACAGAGAGCAAGAAGACTCTGTAATTAAGACTTCTGCCCATTACAGTCCGTGGTACTAATCATTGATTAAGCTATGAAATGGAACAGGAAGGACGTATTTGGCTCTTCTCCTGCTTACCGGGCTACTAATAATCGGAGTACCTTCCTCTAAATTTTAATGGGACCAAATTAAAGCCAGACGTTAATGGGTACCTCTTGGAAGTTGGGAGTGACCAATTTCTTCATTATGGCCCCGTTAGCTACCTTGTATGATTGGGACTTTATAAGCGGAGACTGGAGAGTAAAACGTATATAAAAATTAAATGATTACGTTCATTTGTGAAGCTTTTTAAAATATAAATGAGAGTAAATTAATTATATTTATTAATATCAAACTTTTATTTTTTATTATCTTCAAATTGGGAATAATGAGGTGAAATATAAAAATTTTGATTAATTTTTCATTTTTAAGCCACATTATATATATATATAGATGATCGTGTAATAATTATATCATTAAATTTTCTTTTTTTTATTCATTTGGAAAATTTAAATGTGCAGGAATTGATGATAGAAAAAAAGACATTTGATGTAGTCCCAAAGACACTAAACTAAAACATCAAAGGATACAATTTTTGTTGCTTAAATGTGTAAAGATCAAAATCTAACATAGTCCCTACTTAATAGTGTGTTTTAAGTTACAGTACATTGACCAATATCTTACATTCAACACTTTCACCTACTTGGTTGGTGAATTCCACTTACAACTTTCAACTCCTTTCAGTGATGTGAAATTGCGAATCTCTGCAATCACAATCTCATAAACCTACAATTTCATCGGTACAAGAAAGAAAACTAATGTCAACAATAATTTTATAATTTATAATAATAATAATAATAATAATAATAATAAAATATCTATAGCGACAACGACTCTGCACAAACTTCCCTTATAAGGGGTCCACTTTCTCAACCCACTGCTGCCTTTTGTACTATTTTACCCTACCAACTCTCATCCTTTCTTTTTTTTTTTTTTAAATGTATTTGTTTTTTTTTTATCATATTTTTAATTTTTTATACTGCAAAGATATTTATACGATGAACTTATAAAATTTATCTTGTTTGGTATAAATAATAAACTCATGGATTTCAACAGTATTCTGTAAGTAAATAATCGTCCAAAAAATTTACTAACAACTTTTTATTTCTCTACGGCTCGAGATGATTAAATCTCTTAATTATATAAAAAAAAATTTAAAGAAAATTTTAATTATTAGAATAAAAAATTTAGTAATTTATCACATTTTATAAAAAATTTTAAAAACCTTCAAAATAAGAGATTACGTTGACATAAAATTCTATTTTACTTTTATTATGGCAAATTCTCTTATTCAAAATTTTTAATTCAAGCTAATGAAATGTAAGTTCGAGTTCTTTTAATCACAAATTAAGCTAATTAATATTTATTTATTTATCCTTTAATTTTTTTGATAATTAAATAAAATAATTTAGATAGTTAAATAAAGCAATCTACACGGCATTAAAAATGCTATTAGGATCTTGTTGTAAAATTTGCCTGTTGCGGTGGGTTGGTGACTTGTTCCATTCTCCCCCCTACTTGTAACCCAATTTGCTCACATAAGGCCCAATTTGCTCACATAAGGCCCCACTTAAAACTCGCAGCTTGCCCATTTTGGTCTTTTTAGAGCCTCGTGGACATCAAATTAATTTAATAAAAATATGAGACAAATGTTGATATCGCGATTTTTTATTGAAAAAATGAATAAAACAATAAAAAATAATGCTTCTCAGCCCTATCATTTATATCTTGGTTTGATTTATATATAAATTAAAAAATTTTAATTAATATAATTAAATTATAATTTTATTGAATTGATTCAAGTTTGAATCCTCCATCTTAATACTAAAAAAAAATCTATAATTTTTACTCTATTTATCTAATATATCTTTATATTAATATCCATAAAAATTGATCTATAATAAATTGGTCTTGAAATTAATAAAACTATAATTAAAAATTTAATTAAATAGATTTTTATACTAAAATTTAATTAATAATAATGTAATAGTTTGATTATTATATTTACTGATAAAGAAGTATATTAAATAAAGGTAAAAGAGTAAACTTAAATATTATTCACTTTTAAAAAGTAAAGTGAAATGAGACAATAATTCTGGGATGAATAAAAAAGAAAAATAGTAAAAAATTAAGAGACTAAGGGAGTGATAAATTAAAAAAAATGATATTTTCTTTTTTGGAAATAAAAATGTTAGTTGATTATTGAGTTTCTGTTGGTAGGTGTAGACAAATAATAATGGAAATACAAAACCACCCTTCCTTTTATGCGAATTTAACAAATTTGGAAATATTGGCGTTTGGCAAAACAAAAGGTAAGCAAGTCAAAAAGACCAAGAGAGCCTTTGAGAAAAATACAGATCCCGAGCTTGCGTTTCCCGTTTCTGGTTCAAAGAAACATATCGAAAAGTGCAAACCTTCAAGAGTTAGAGTCGTGAGTGGGACCCACATTCTGATGAGCCCGACCTAAAAGACATAAATCACCACATGTTTCTTTAGATCAACGGTTACCCTACGTTTCTCTTCTTCGTCTTCTACCTCCCTCACCCTTCTATAAGCCATGCCCCTTTTTTTTGCTGATTCTCACATTATACTAACCTGCTCTTTTGCTTCATTTCAGTACTGTAGGATCTCCTTTTCCCTTCCTTATTAAATTTCTTGCTGTTTTTCGTTTCCTTTTCCCTCTCTTTGTAAATCTCTGTCTTGTTTTTGCTCTTGTTCTTCGCTTGCTACCGCAGATTTTTGAATTTTCTTATATATTTCATTAATGGGTTTTGCTTCTTTTGAGTAGTGGATTGGTTTTTCTGTTACCATTAATTGTTTTGCATCTGTGTGCCTGTAAAAATTTGAAAATTTTCATTCATACTTATCTAGATTTTGTTGTTCGCGAGGCGTAAGGACTTCCTTTTTTTGTTACGCTTCCTCTGGTTATTGGAATTTAGCTCATAACAAGCTATTTGGTTCTATAATTTCTGTTTCACTCTGTTCTTTGGGATCTGCGCGGCTATTGCTGGTGTGATCCCACGTGTTCTGTCAATGGGTGCCTTGAATGAGGGGCATTTCCTTGTGGAGCTTGAGAATGGAGTGAAACTCAATTGCGTTGAACCGGAATTAGAAGAAGAACCAGAGACTTTGGCCATTCAGAACGCTGTAAGAGTTCTGTTACAAGGTCTCAATGAGGATATTAATAGAGAAGGTCTTAAAAAGACCCCTCTTCGTGTTGCCAAGGCCCTTCTCCATGGAACCAAAGGTAACTTTTCTCTTCGCTGCTAACCTGTGGCTTTTTTTTTTTTTTTTTTTTTTTTTTTTTTTTTTTTTTTTTTTTTTTTTTTTTTTTTTTTTTTTTTTTTTTTTTTTTTTTTTTTATCCATTTCCTTATTTGTTAGTTAGTCTATTTTTGTGGGCCTTATTAGGCTAGAGTGGTGAACTTCTTTTACTAGTTACTTTGTTGGTAGGTTGGTAGTTAAGATGTGTCAACTTCCTGAAGTTTATTTACAAGAATCTAATTCAGTATATTCGTACTAAAGTGCTAAAATCTTTGTTGGTGATGTGTGTGTATGCTTTTTCACACATGCATTCTTGTCCTTATCTATAATTGCTGTTGCATGGTTGTATTTTTCTTTTTTTGGCTCATATAGTCTTTGGTTTACTCCTGGCCGCCTTGAGTTCGTAGGTAGGTTGCTTAGCAAGTTACATTTTCTTAAGAGTTTCACTGATTCTTCTTGTGGCTTTCTTGGATGAGCTCCATTGTAGCTCCTGAGTAAACCTTTTTTTCTTTTACTTAGTATTTGCACCTATGAAATACCCATAAATGGTAAATGTCTAGCAACTTGTCAGAGTAGTCGTTTTGTGCTTTAGAGAGAAATAGTTTGGCATAAAGAATTACATTTGAGAGAAGAAAGGGCCGGACTGAACCATCTATGCTGAAAAATTGTGTCTTCCACACATGTTTCTTATGTGGAGAATTGTAAAACAATGTGCAATATCACTGCTCCATTTCACTTCCCATTCTTTCAAGGAATGATTGCAAAAAATCCTAGTAGTTGCATGAATTGTCAATTTGTGTAAAAGTGGTGTAGAAATATCTTTGCTCTCAATCTTGCTAGTACAGTTTGTAAACATTGGATTTTGTGTGTATGTGTCTATATATATAGGCAAGGATAACTATGTACAAGCTTTACTTTCTAAAATATGTGACTGTGACCCAGACAGGAAATTCCAGTTGAAAGCCTGTTGGGCCTTGGTTTACAGGGTAGAGGGTCAGAGAGAATTCCTGATTGATTTATATGTGTGATATGGGACAATATTCTACTTCCCAAATAATGAAAGAATCTCTAGCAGGAAGCTATCTAAATAAGAGATTTCTCGTTATTTTTTTAGTTAGATTCTCAACCACTTTCCATTGTACTGCTAAATTCTCTTTATCCTGTCATTCATAATTTTCTTAAAATGATTGATTCTCTAGTTTATTGAGTGTTTTTAATTCAAAATGATCCCCACAATTTGTGAAAATTTTCCACCACAAATTGATAAAAACGTCATATATTGAAAGGTTAACATTGTGATTTTGTAATCCAAGAACATTCTACTTTGATGAAAATGATCAAGATAACTTGAATTTCTGGTGGAATTATTATATGTGAATATGGTAATTTTTTCTCAACTATCTTTGACTTGGACTTAAGAGTTGTGATCTTCCATTTACCCAATACATGTTGTTACCTCTTTCAGGTTATAAACAAAGGGCAAATGACATTGTTCATAGTGCATTATTTCCTGAAGCTGGTTTGAATAATGCAGTAGGTCATGCAGGAGGAGCAGGTGGTCTTGTGATTGTTCGAGATATTGACCTCTTCTCATACTGCGAGTCTTGCTTGCTTCCCTTTCAGATAAAGTGTCATGTAGGTTATGTCCCATCTGGTCAGAGGGTTGTAGGATTAAGCAAGCTATCTAGAGTTGCTGATGTCTTTGCAAGAAGGCTACAAGATCCACAACGTTTGGCAGATGAAATTTGTTCAGCTCTGCAACATGGGATCAAACCTGCTGGTGCTGCCATTGTACTCCAATGTTTACACATCCATTTTCCAAATTTAGAGTCATTTGTACTTGACTCCAGTCACCAAGGATGGGTAAAGGCACTAGTCCGTTCAGGTTCTGGTGTTTTTGAAAATGAAAATGCCGACCTTTGGTGTGATTTCCTAAATCTCCTGAAGTTCAGAGGCGTAAATGTAGATAAAATTCAGATGACAGATGCTACGGAGCAGTGTTGGTGCCCCTCCCAGTCTTCTTCAAGTGCTAAACTTTCATCCATGGTCAGGTCACCCAACCAAGGAATGGTCACTGCTGTTACATCGATACTTATGTCTTTGGGAGAAGACCCATTAAGGAAAGAGCTTATTGAAACTCCTAGTCGTTTTGTGAAGTGGTTGATGAACTTCCACAACACAAAACTGGAGAATGGCTTTGGTAGGGCAGATCCTCTTGAAGCCAGTGGAGATATTAGCCATGACAGAGAACAAATGCATTCTGAGCTGAACCTGTCATTCTGGTCTCAGTGTGAGCATCATTTACTGCCATTTTATGGTGTTGTGCATATTGGTTACTTCTGTGCTGAAGGATCAAAGCCTATTGAAAGAGATTTTCTACAGTCAATAGTACATTCTTATGGTTTCAAGCTCCAAGTGCAGGAAAGACTAACACGACAAATTGCAGAGACTGTTTCGTCATATTTAGGTGGAGATGTGATGGTAGTTGTGGAGGCTGACCATACTTGTATGATTTCTAGAGGTATTGAGAAATTTGGAAGCAATACAGCTACAATTGCTGTGCTCGGTCGATTTTCAATAGATCCCGCTGCAAGGGCCATCTTTTTGCAGAGCATTCCAAAGACAACTACTACTTGAGGGATCACGACAGTTTGAATCAGTTTTCAGAAATACATCGAGTCACGTTCTTCGCGTTTTCTAGATCGTTTATTTGTTTACTGTGGGGCTGGTATACCAGAGAATCATTGCAACAGATCATTTGTTGGATGACTGGAACAAGGTTTGATGTGTTTGCCTAAGCTTTTGTGCTGATTGTGCGGGAATGTTGGAGAAGATGAGTGTCCAGAAATTTTAATCTTTTTTCAAGAGGCAATCATTTTCTCATTTTTACTTTCTCAGCACAGTTTTCCCCATACATGAAAAATAAGACGCCAATGTTTACGTTTTTTTTTTTGTCCGTGTATTAGCAGTTAGAACTTAGAAGTCTATGGCCAGTGAGAAAAATGCCGTTAATGACAGTTGTCTGCCGTCTTTACTAAATGCAGAAATGAGTTTTCCAGAATTGATCTGTGTGAAGTTTTCTTCCTTTTGTTTTGTTTTTTTGGTTTTTTTTTCTTTTTTTTTTTGGGACGTATTCTTTATTTGTATGGAAAGAAAGATCCAATCTTTAAGTATTTGATTGGATAATGAAATGCGAGAGAGGCAGGATTAAAGGGATATTTGGATTTTTCCAAAATGCTGTGACCTAGACCCGGACATGTTTCAGTTTCCCAACTCGAATCAATTTCAGGTCCGCCAGTTCAGCTCCACCAGAATCCGGCAAGAGGTGAATATGCAGAAAATTTATTTTGGAACACGTTCTAAACTAAAACCAATTAACCAAACCCTCGGTTCCGACAACCTGGAGAGTTTTCTGGGAACTGAAATTGGTTATTTTTCTTTGATCTCCATTCATTGGGTTGAGTTCTAATGGGTTCTAGATTCGGACCTGAAATTACTAATTTTGTTTTTGATTTATGCTGAGAATTCTAGTGCCTATTTCCCACATTAAGCGAAGAATTGTTAGTTTTCAGGTTGATATTTGGAAATGAAGTCTCCATTTCTGTCTGGGTTAGAAAACGAGATACAAAAAAGCACTAAAGGGCAAAAAAAAAAAAAAAAAAAAAAAAAAAAAAAAAAAAAAACGATACAAAAAAGCACTAAAGGGCAAAAAAAAAAAAAAAAAAAAAAAAAAAAAAAAAAAAAAAAAAAAAAATACAGCTCTGTGAACAAACTACCAGTAAATCAACATTTATTCAATCAAATATTCCAATGTTACAGAGGATAAATTTGCCAAGCCAACCATGACATGATGTTATGATTTTATGTTTGTCTAAAAGCCATTATATACACAAACATGCATTAGACCATAAAGGAAACCAACTTTAATTCTAGTCCAAGTCCAACCACAAATGCCTGATAGCATGCCAATTTATCTGAACTTTCGATCTTGGCTCATGGCGAATGCGCTTGTATTGCATCTTGATTGATATAATGACAATTCCAAGGATTATAAAAAGATATATGCATGTCAATAGAGATACTTTAACTCCACGAACCTGCAAGCAGGGCTGATGGATAAGTCAGTAAAGTACAATATGCAGTTTCTTATAAAATTTTGAACCTTATGTCACCATCAGTACAAATCAAATACACAGCAACAACAAAGTTAAATTAAGCACTCAAAAATTTTTATCAGCGGCAACAAAGCGAAGCAAGAGTTTGTAGTTCAATTTCACGGAAAACTGTTAATTCTGAAGCAAATAAACGCACACAGAGGTGGAGAAGACCTTTTCAGCTAGCCAGTCCTTGCGAGGAAGGTTTTTTTCAGCATGCTCAAGGGAATAACGCAACATGTCAACAATTGTTAACTCAGTCACTGGATAAAAGCTTTCTACAAGAGCAAAGAATAATGATAAATCCTCAGACTCATTAATCATATAATTTAAGGATTAATGGAAATCTGGATGAATTGCAGACAGGTAATTATGACAAAAAAAAAAAAAAAAAAAAAAAAAAAAAAAAAAGAAAATCAAACCTAGATGAATAACCTGAATGTCAAAATAAATTTTTTGGACTGGTGGGAATACCAAGCAGTTCCCCAACCAGACTTCGGATCACGGGCGCGTCAGGAAAGTGAAAAAGTTAGATTCACTATGTGTGACAACAAACAGCAGGTTTCATTCAATCTGTATTACATGAAAGGCAGTGGACACTTGAGCCAATTAATGCCCACCTTGCAAGAAGTGGTTATTCACTTATTCAAAACTAATTGAGAGGAAACAAAGAACAAAAGAGTTTATGATTGGAAAACAAAATAAATATCAAATGAATTTACCAAAACATTATCCGTCTATGAGTCATAGATGCAGTTGCATGAGCAATTAACAATCTAACAATAGTTCAGAAAGTAGTATGAAATACAAATATTGAAAGAAGGAAAAAAATGGAAAATCGAAAAATTCCAAAGCATACATAGCTTCCTTAGTCAAAATGCAGCAGACAGTAATTGTTCGGCAAAATATATCCAATAGCTAGTATAATTATATGTCAAGCCAGTTAAATAGAACTAAATGTTGACATTAATGACCCTTAGAAAGAAGTAATATTTGCTGCTTCCACTATTAGAAAATTACCCTATTACTATGGTAGAAGAAGAAAAGAAAAAGGTCAGGCCTCCGCTCCTTTCCTGTATTCAATTTTTTTAAAAATTTTTGGCTCAAACAGCATTTAGAAAGAGAACCCACAAAAATTTGCTCAAGATCAATTTCCATCCAATCATAAACATATCACCATCTATGTGACAACTTTCAAGAAGTGTTATAAACATGGTGGAAAAGAAAGCAAGAAACACAGCATTGCCTCTTTGGAGAACATCTAATATTTTTTGCTAAGATGTGCTAGTATTTCTTCTTTTTCTTTGCGTACATTGAAGTTGCAATTTCCTGATCTCAACTACTTTCCCTGCCCACCATCACTCCATCTTTAGTGGGAAGAATCTTCCTCACCTTTTTTCACTCCCAATGTCAATTAATTTGCTCAATCAATGGGATCAAACTTTAACCTTTATTTACAGCGATATATAGGCATAATACACGAAGAATTTCATCGAGGTTATTTTGGGGAAAAAGCTTTTCTCATAATGTTCATGCCTGCTGCAATCGATTTCGGACTGTCCTCCAATAAACTTCCTGCCCACGTCTTCACATCCAACTATAGTTCCAAAATTCTAAGAAAAGTCTTCAAAATGGTACGAGTGCAGTATCCCTCCTGGAGCCAATGACTGTCAAAATCTGACTTAAGAGAACTGCATGATACCATATTTTTCCTGATGTAGAGAGAAAGGCTCTTGACCTGAACCATTTGGATAAATTTTTCTCTCAAGCTTGTGGGAGGCATTCCTAACCCTATGACAAACCAATGAACACCTCCTCCTTCCACAGTATACTCACAGAAAATACTATAAAGGAAACTTGAATCCGTAAAAAAAAAGTTGCATGTGCTTGAAATTCACAACAAGTTACAGTTCAGGAAAGGATGATTTAATTTATTTATTTATTGAGAACAATTATGAAAGAAATTTCTTTGTACCTTTATAATGACAACGTAGGGGCAGTTGAAAGTGTTTGCAATTCAGTCTCCAGTACTAGTGACCCTTCATCACCTTCACTTCCATTGGACTTCAGGACTGTGCAAGCCCCATTAACAAAAATATTACCAAAGTTAACCATTCCTGGTCACTGGATGAACTTACCTATTCCCACCACTTGCATTTGATTCTGGTCTTTAAACTTGAATGATCTTGATGGCTGGCTGTGCAAATCAGTGTAATGAAAGTTATTTAATGTTAAAAAACAATAGTTAATGCCCCCGACCAAATAAAAAAAACTGTGTCATTTGAACTTGAGACCTGATAATGAGTTCTCCATGACGGACACCTTTCTGATCCATTGCGTTTAGCATTTCAACTACTCAAGAAGTCAGCAGAACACCACGGGAGTTCATTAAAGACAGAATAGGCTAACCCCTAGGAATCAATAGTCCTGAAGGAAAGTAGTGCCTTCTCAGCCAGTATAGAATTATCTGCATGTACTTATGCTTATTTCAGAATAAACTTAATATGATGAAAGCACTGGCCAGAGTAAGTAATAGTAGAGGTTTCGAGCAATCAGAAGATCACCAGAGTCTCACTTTTTCAATTCAAGTTTGAAATTAAAAAATAAATTTAAAAACTCTTACACTCGATACTTGTGCTCTTTTCAGGTCCAAAACTTGTCAATCTTCAAACACCTTTGAATATGTCTGTTAATGTAGACGCTTTTTCCAAGATCCCTTGGAACCAACCAGTAAGAGTTGTAGTTGTTTTTGGCACATTATAGTACACTCAATGGCCACCTGCCTTCTCAATCCATCAGGCGTATAACTTTCATATTAATTATCACATCAATTATACAAAACCATTAGAATGAACTTTTTAGATAAGAAACTGTAGAAATTAAAAAACTATCTGATTTGCATCATCCAACACTTCCATACTACCAGGGACGATAAGAAAAAGAGGATAAACCTGTTAGACATATCCATCTTGATTTGTGAGAAAAGTCATGTAAATAAAATACAACCATATCTATAGTTTCAGTATTTTAAACTAATTCTCACAAGTTTCAGAAATATGGATTCTTTGAATAAGTGGTTGCATTAACCACGAAAGGATTGAACGCTTTTTGTGTGCGGGAGCCCCTAGTTTCAAGCAGTCCTTCTATAAACATAAAATGGTCAAAAAGCCAATTGCTGTACCAGTAACAGCGACTTCTCTACCAATATTCAACCACAATAAACTAGGAGTATTTTTGATTCTCATTTCAATAAGAGAAAAAATGAGTACAGCATGTTGAATTCAATCAAAAACATTCCGTTAAATTCCGTACGGATCGAATAATGATACTATGTGATGTGTGAAAACAATTTTTTTTTAAAAACAACCCATTGAATGTTAAGTCTTTATTCTTTACCATCTTCCATCTAGTATTGTCTGTGTTTTATAATAGTCATAATCTATAGTGACAATACTTTGTCAGTAAGATTCTGTCTACCATGTAGGTTCCCAATAGAGCATGACCATCAATTTGGTCGCGGTATCTTACAACTCTTTAAGCCTAAAATCATTCAGTGTAAATTTTCTCAACACTTTCCCTGTCAGGACAAGGATTCATAACATCCTACTATAAACCTTTAAAGCGTCCAAATTTTCTTCCATTAAATAAACCAAATACAACTAATGGCTCTGAATTTCCATAATTTTAGCATAGCGAAAATCTATGCAAAGCACAGAATCAGAAGAAAAGTGCAGTAAAATCTATTATTCCATTCCTTTTAAACAGGTTAAAATTACTAGAAAGAGAATTGAATTAATTCACCAAAAACAGCAGACATGGAATACCTTCAAATTTTCCTCTTTAGCCCCTCCAGGCCTTATGTTCTTACTCTCCAACCTGATGGATTAACTCTGAAACACTCATTGTAGCAATTTGCACCTCTTCCTTTATTTAGCTTTCAAATTTTTCCCTTCCAAAAGAACTTGAAAAAGAAATTTGTTTTCGAATCCTCCGAATAACAACTCATAATCTTCATATAAACGTTTTATCCGTCAAAACTCCCGCTAAGTCATTCCCTAATTTAATTGCCAAAAAAGAAAAACTTAAAAATCAGAATTTAACAAATGCCAATTTTAACTGTAATAGGAAAGCGCTTTCAAACTTACAACCTAGCTCCGAATTAAAATTTTAGATGTATCCACCACATAGTCATTTTATAATTTTTAAAGCCTGAACTATGATTAAAATTGACCAAACAAACAGTACGATCATAATCTATTATCCATTCCACCATCAGCTACTAAAAATGCAAACCAGCTACACCAACAAGGCCAACTTCCATTTCGGAAGAATCAATAAAGAACAGCATTAAACAAAAAACAATTCAAGATTTAAAATTTTACGAACTTTCAATTATCAGCGGGTCAACTTTAAATTTAAAAACTTTTTTATTAAAACAAAAATGATCAATTGAAACTTAGAAAAAAAGAAAAAAAAAGATTCCCAAAATAACAAGAAAAACCTGGAATGTTATAATATGGATTATTCGATGATAATGCGTCGCAACATTCTTTGAGTCATTAGAATTCTTCTCTCTGCATAATAATAATGTAAAAACCAATCTGTGTATAATAATTAATCATAGAAGCCACAGACTTCATCCAATACAAAGGACAAAAGAGAGGGAAAACAAGGAAAGATGGAGACAGGAGAAAGATTGCAGCACCAGGAGTGGGAAGTGAAGAGAAGGTAATCGAAAAATCCCGCCCATACTTTCCCCTTCCTTGTAAACCTTCTTTGCTTGTTTATACAAAATGAGACGCAGAGAGAATCATTAAGCAGTAGACTCTCGTTAAGAAATTCAGTATTTTCTTCTTTCTTTCGGTTATAAGAATGTGGGGAAACCAATTTAATAATCCGCTTAAATGAATTTCTTTGCTTCAATATGGAAGAACTGCTCAAGTCATTTTATTACATTTCTCGAGATTATGGAAACGTGGCGTCGCGCTTGGTTTCTTTTTTTGTCCGTTCAGCAGCAATCCACTGCTTTTCAACTTTTCATTCTCTTTCTGATCAAGATTCCCCTTTCTTTTAACTTGAATTCCAAAAATTGACCATGTTATATTTTCTTCCCTTTTTTTTTTTTTTGTCTTTTTTTTGGAGAATATGGATGTGAAAAAATTAATAGGGTTATCTTGAGAAAATTCAACAGATTTTAACATAACTAATAAAGGCTAAAATATAATAAGAACGAAGAAAAATAAAAAAAAGGTGCAGCTTAACTTGTGATATTTTTTGCAACTTTCTTAAAGATACTTGCCTAACGCTTTTATCATCAAGTTTGTTTAAGTTGTAGTCTTATTATATGTGATTATTTGATAAAATTTATGTATTGGATT